CGTCGTCGGCAACGATGAGCGCCATGGCGGACCACCGGCGCGCCCGGCAAACACCGCCACATAGTCGCCTTGAAAGGCCTAAGTCCCTGAGCCTGAGATATCGAAGATATTGAAGTAAGATATTGGAGGTATTGAGGGACTTATTGGAGGGAGCGGTAAACTGCTAAAAAACCCTCTAATTAGAGGGTCGTACCGATCGGTACGACCCTCTAATTAGAGGAGTTTTGCGGGATTATTAGGTGGCCCTTGCGCTAGACCATCACAAGTGACTCACGAACGAAGATGTCGTCGATGTTGAAACTGTAGATTCTGAAGCATTTCGGTAAAGCTGGAAAAGCAGAGGGCAGGTAGCGGCGTCCGGCGAGGACAAGGCGAGGACGATGGAAGCAGGAAGGAAAAGACGAATCCCGGATTGATCCCGGACTTTTGATTTTGATTTTCATCGGTGATGCTATCACACCGACTGTTATCCTCGATGGCTCCCAAACCCGCATCATGCACCGGCGGCAAAGCCCTTGTCTCCGCCGCTATGACGTTCACTTTGCACATTAATGTTCGCGCGCGACTTTTTATTTTCGCGCGCTACTTTTAGTTTTTCGCGCGCCTTTTGAAGATGCCTTCGAGAAGCCGATACATGCCGGTAACGGGTATCATGCACGTGCTCTGAAAATGTTCTAGAAGTGCAAAATGCACTATTCCTCCGTGACTTCTCGCTCAAATACCATCGGGAGTACCGGAAATTAAACCGACAGTCTTCTAGGTGTAGAATATAGAAAAACATTGAGTGCTTTCGGGGGGTAATGGTCAAGATCGTGGCCCGAGGCTATCAGATCCCTGATCCTAAACCAAAATTCATTACAGCGCTACTTCTGACCAACTAAATTTTCTACAATGGTCAACAGACAATTTTATAGGGTTTCGAGCGCTAATACAGAAAAATTCGGGGGCAGAACGGTTGAGGGTCGTCCGCCAGAACATATTTATCGATCTCAACGTGATGTTGCCATGACCAAAATCAAATGTGACATTTCGTGACTTTTACTGAAAATCGCTCGCAATGCCTGTTTCTGAAGTGGTTTTACCTCCGTTTTTTGAGTAGGAGGCTTATACACAGGGCCAAATAACAAGGATGAGATTCAATAAACATTCTACGCAATCAAGTTCATTACTGATCAGTGTGCCTATGAATCTCTTGCCTTTTCTCTGTAAGATCTGTCAGTTTCCAACACTGGTCATTCGTGAAGACCTTGCGTTGGATCGAACAAGTCTGCAACCATGAGGAATTCCCTCAGTTCAAGCGCGTTAACGAAAGAAAACTGCTCACAAGAATTCTGAACACATGTGGAGATCTGTTCTATTGAGGTGGCACTTCAGATGTGGAACCTTCTTCACTCATTGTTCAAGCGGTGGTTATACTTTGTTGATTGCACTTATTCTGACTTGATCCTTCGGCTCGGTGATTGTTCACCGTTGTTGAAGATGCTTGTTGAAACCTGAATTAAACGAGCTATGAGTTTCTGGCCCTTTCAGGTGTGGCTCAAATTCCAGTATTAGAAGCAGGCCGGTTTGAATTCGTACAACTTTGAAGGCTCACCTTAGAAATGGGCAGTGTTGTTTTACAGCCAAGGACGGAACCGAAGGTGCAGATCAAAATTTTCTGTTTTTAGAGCTTTTTGATCCTCGCCAGAGAATTCACCTTAGCTCGCTCAGTTCTCCACCGTTCAACTTGTAAATAGGCTAGATAATTCGGGCTAAATCATGTGCAATTATGCATAGAGCCAAATCAGCAAAAATACTTATTTTGGGTGGGCTGAGAAATAAGGCCTCCAGCACCGTAAATCCCGACTAACTCGGTCAGAGTAGCTCCAATCGACTCCATTTTTAGTATGTTGTTTATGTGTGCCCTAAAAGACCTCTCATAGGCGCAGAAACTTAAATTAGGCCTCCGCAGCAATTGCGGGAGTGACACAGTATCCAATGAGGCTGCGTTTGCAACCACACTCCTGACACAAAATCCCCATTTGATGGTCTAGGATCCCTCCCTTCCAGCCAAAAATGGAACTGCTGCATGGGTATGGGTGTGGGATCTATGTATATTAGAGGCATGGTTTCGGGGTCTTATCACTCGGCGGAAACATGCCAGCCGTCAAAAATTTGAGCTGTACACTCCCTCTTGCCATACTTCGGTGATGTTTGGGTGATGTTGAACATCTTGGTAAAAAAGCATATAAAGGTACTTTTTGCCGGATTGGGGTTGTGATCCACGTGCAGGTGTAGTGCTTCCAAAACTGTAAAAGAGGTTAAATCCATTCTGTGGGTACTGAGGCTACTGTATAAGATGAAAGCAGTGATTTCATAGCTATGCAATACTTCACTTTCAGACAGTCAAGGAAAAGCTGCTGCCAAAGGTAAGGGATAATTCTAATCAGCAACCCCACTTTGGGGGTTGCTGAGGTTGCTGGATAGTGATTTTCTATCCAGCAACCCCTGCGTGTGCTTTTCATACCGAGCCAATGGGTTGGCGGCTCTGCCGACCCAATTGGATCAAGCCGCTACAGATTTGAAGTCTGTTGCACTGGTTAAAATCTTTCTAAGTGAGAGGCTATTTGAAGAGGATTGCACATCAGCTCACAAGAGTACTAGCACAATTTACATTCAGCTGCCAGCTCCTTTCTGCAACCTTTTGGTAGTTGTGAAAGTTTGGGTGATGCCATCAATTCAACCAGGACTTCATCAGCTTGCTAGGCATGTGGGTAGGTCAAGGTCGGATCCACCTCACACGGCAACAGCATGAAAACATGAAACGACCTCTAAATTTCCCGAATGTTCCTTTGCACTGACGCAGGCCTAAAAGCCGACTCGGGCCGCTCGGCATTGGCCCGGCATCAAGGTCTTGAGCGGTCCGTTTCACGGGGGTTGCTGAGTAGCAGAAAATTAGTGGGGTCGCCAAATAGCAGCAACCCGGGTTGCTGATTAGAATTATCCAAAGGTAAGGCATGGAAACTCACAACATCCTCAAAAGTGGGCGCGAAAACCGAAAATTGCGCGCGAAAGGCCAAAAAGGCGCGCGAAAACTAAGAGTAGCGCGCGAAAACTCAAAGTAGCGCGCGAAAACTAAAAGTGGCGCGTGAAAACTAAAAGTAGCGCGCGAAAATAAAAAGTCGCGCGAACATTAATGTGCAAAGTGAACGTCATACGCCGCCTCCGAGGCGCCTGCCGCTGCCTCCAAAGCCCCGTTCAAGACCGCCGAGAAAAGGCGAGCAAGAAGACGGCCAAGGCCGCTGCACCGGCTGACGGGGAGAAGAACAAACGCAAGGAGACCCACAAGGCAGTGTTCGTCCCCAAGGCCTTGGGTGGAGGTTTGAAAAAGTCCAAGGCCTTGGCCAAGGGCAAGGCCTTGACCCAAGGGCACCGTCAAGGCCTTGGATCAATTTCCCACGGACTTTCCCACGGATTTCCAGTGCCACGAAAATAATAAAATTCCATCCAATTCTACCTATATTCGTCGTCTGAGTCGATCTCGATAGCACCGTCATCCATACGTGCATCCTCATCTGCATCTGCACGTGCCTCCATCTCTGCCAGTGCCTCCATTAATCTCTCTTCCTCCTCCAAAACTCGCGCAGACTCGGATGGTTTGCGTTTGAGTGGCTTCTCTGATAACCCAAATAATGTCGCAAGGGTGATAGGCTTCCACCTTGGTGTCTTCGGAAGGCGAGGGGTGTCTTCTTCCTCCAGCTCTGAGTCAGAGTCCAAACCCAATGTCTCACGCTGTGCTTTCCACTTCGCCTTCTCCGCCGCCTCTGCGCGCTCAACTACCTCGGCCGCTTTCGAGTCAGCAACCCATTTCGCCATCTCGGTTCTCCAGCCGTCGGTACTGGAGACAAGAGCACGACCGCGCTCACTGGGATCTTCGTCTTCCTGATCTTCGAGAAGATCGCAGTACCGAGGAACAGCCAGGAGTGCGCCAACGGACTTGTGATTCTTCCGGCCCTGGCGTGGTTTAATAAGTCCTTGCCGCTCGTGGTCTGCACGAATATCCGCGCGAACCTGCAGGATAGTTAGCACTACAAACGAAAGCACGGGGATTACCCGCGCCACTACACGGAAAACACTGGAGAAAAGATGCAAAATCAAAATTCCATAATTTACACACGTGATACGCCAAGGCCTTGGGCCAAGGGCGGATCTCCGCGTCAAAAAGTCAAGGCCTTGGCCAAGGCCTTGACCCAAGGCCTTGACCGCCAAGGCCTTGCCCTTGGGGTGAACACTGCCACAAGGAGACTTACTCGTTCTACATCTACAAGGATGCGCGTCGTCGTCGTTGAGGACTTCACACATCAGCAAAACCTGTTTTTTGGTGTAGTTGGTTGTAGTTGTTGTAGTTGGCTGTAGTTTAGGCTCAACTATGTAGTTCTATGTAGTTCTACATAGTTTGAGGGGACCCTACATAGTTCTATGTAGTTTGGGGGGTTCTCCGTAGTTCTATGTATTTTGGGGGGTTCTCCGTAGTTCTATGTAGTTTGGGGGGGTTCTATGTAGTTTGTGTAGTTCAACAGGGTATCATATGGTGCAGATGGATTTCTGATCAGTGACTGACTGCAACTCTTCAACGCACATTATGAAGGCCTGGTTGTCCGGCAAATTGCAGAAAGTCTTGTTTTGAGTTGTTCTGGCCTTAAAAATTGTATGTGTGTGGAAAAGTATTTTGTGTTTTATGCTTCAACCAAGCTGTTTGACAAAAAATGATATAGATAAGTTTTGTAGCTCTCTTCAAGCTCTACAACTTTGGTTTTGGTCTATTTTTAGCATCTACCACATATTTTACACACCCTGGAATTTTTTTCAAAGTGAAAAGTCTTTCAGAGTGGATAGAAATTATTTACACCCAGATACTTACAGCAGTGTGAATAGGCAACAGGTGAGGGCAGAGAGAAGAGTAACCTGGCTTGGATATACGATGGTAGCTATGTATCAGAATTATTCCCTCTGACTTTCATGTTCTCTTGGCTCAGTTGGTTAATGCACGGAATTCTGTCTTTTGGCTGAACCGCCGAGGTCGCGCGTTCGATTCACTCAGGAAGCACTTTGTTTATTTTAATCAATTAGAATAGAATTACAATACAATAAGACAACAGTTAAATATGACACGACTGTTACCCTTGAGCAACGTAAGATAGTGGTAGTAGAGCACTGGGTAGCCGGTGATCGAGTAAGACTTTTGTGACCTTCAGAACCTCAACTACGTAGAACTACATAGAAACCCCCTTCAACTACGTAGAACTGTGTAGAAGACCCCTCAACTACGGAGAACTACGTAGGTGGTACCCTTTCTACAGAACTACAACAACTACAGGCTCTACGTAGTACTACGTAGCAGACCCAGGGTTTGCTGATGCAACTCACATTCGCGCAGTCTTTACGTAAGCAGGTCCACACGGGTATCTCAACTAAGGCCATGCTGAACAGCTTCGTCAACGACATCGTCGAGCGCGTCGCGCCCGAGGCATCTAGTGTGTCATCTTGCTTCGTCCTCTGTACATCGTTGCTCACGTACTACCAGAACTCACGCAACACTCCAAGAAATCCGCCATCATCTCTTTACGCACAAAGTCGGCATTGTGTTACGATGCGTTATCGTGATTCTCACTTGCTTTGTCTTACTAAATGCCTGGAAGTTTCTTGCGGGACGAGCCCCACCCTTGGTGCGTGCGCTTTGGCATAGATTTGACCGAGTAGGACTAACTTTTGTTCTTGTTTCAGCTGTAAGATTTTCCGTTAGCTGGAACACGAGAAGAGGAAGCGACCAGACGCACCGAGTCTGGTGTGTACATACCTACCTACCTATCAGTACATACATGCCTTGCCCTTCCTCCCGCGTTTCCCGCCTTCTCCTACATCAGGGAACACCTCCTTTGGGAATATGGCCAGATTTGCCCAAACTTTGGGCAAATCCGACCGAATTTTCGCTCTTAGGTTCATTTCCTTTCTTTGGACTCTTCAGATAATTTAGGGGAAATTGACCTGAAGTTCCCGTAGATTCTCGGCACATTTGACTGAAGATGTGCAAACTTCGTGCACATTTTGCTGCTTTCGGTTGCTTTTATTTCATTCTGATTCAGATTATCCGACGAATTTCAGGGCAAAAAGTGCGCCACACGGCGGCTTGGGATTCAATGATAGGTAGACTAGACTATGAGAGAAGCTATATAGACTATAGACAGACAATCTTAACATGACTAATGAGTAATATGTGCACTAAAAAGATTAGCACCGGGCACTGTGCCCAGTGAGCGATGTAAAAGGCAATATAATAGGAACAGCGAGGCAGCGAATCTAGTCAGAGTCAGGGATGTCGACCAAGTTGATGAGAATGGCGGAGCTGCCGGCGGCGTTTGGCGTTGCCGTGGTGGTCTCGCTATCGGACCAATAAGTATGCCGTGGTCGCGAGGGTGTAAAGGAAGAAATATTCACGTCACAAGCTTGTACAGGTCGTGGAGGACGAGATGAAGGGCCTTGGGTGAGTGAGCGCGAGTATCGCTGAGAGTGCGCATGTGATTCCGATAGACATCTTCATAGGCGCTCGCCGTGAAAGGAATCTTTTGATGTTTTCCCGTTGCACGATACGCCGTGAGCCCCGCATAGACCTAGGAAACTCAGAGATGAACAGGAAGGTTGATGCTGAACTAACCCCCGTCGCGCCGAGGCAGAGCATCGCATCGGGAACTTCCAACCGTTCCGGGTGCTTGTCATTGGTAGATGAAAATCGGTGAAGGTTCTTGGTCTTGAATTGTCCCGTGAAGACGGCCTTCCTGAGGACACTGACTATGGACTCGTGTTGGAACGGTAATTCCGTCTTGAGGCGATTCTGGTAACCAATGAGATTCCAAATTGGACTAGGGAGGGAACGGCATCGAACGCACCGTGATAGGATCGACTGGGAATATATACTTGTGGTCCTGTAGGCGCCCATTGACGATAGTTTTGACTTCCTCTGGCGGCGAGAGGGCAAACCCATAGAGACCACCGATGTCTTGGGCGGCGACTTGCCTGATGTCTCCACGTGTGGTATTGATGCGATCCAGCGGCTATATCCCATCAGCAACGATAATAACCAGAGATTGACCAGAGAAGTAAGGACGTACGATGTCAGCAAGGCGAGTCGCGAAGCCCATATCGTTAGTCAAACGATCCTTGATATGAATTGCTGCAGGGTGTTGAGCAGCCATGAGAAGAAAAGTGCGTGCAAATCCGCCACGGGCCAAGACGACGGGATAGGCATCGTCGAAGAACAACGACAACTTGATGAAGTCGATGCAGCCGTGAAGCACCGCCTTCAGCTCGTCAGTCTGACCGGTCAGTCCGATATCTTTACCTGGCGCAGGGAACAGGATGCGGGCCGAGACGTGCCAGTCGCTCTCAGGCCGTGACGCGGCGTCAACAGTGGCGGCGGCGACGCGATTGAGTTGGGTTGCCAAGCCTGTGGCGGCCGGGCCCGGTCGCACCTCGGGTCGCTGGATTCAAGTTAGGAGAAATTATATTGAAAAGTTTATGTATCAGACGTACCTCCATGTCTGCCTGCTTTTGGCGCGCCGCAGAAACCTTACGCGGCTATAGAGGGCATTGTCAGGATGCTGCACTAACAATAGTTGAAACCGATACCTTTTTAGGAGCGGGACCGTCGTCAGAATCCTCGGCATCGCTCTCAGCGGCGCGAGAGGAAGCCGAGGAACGGCGGCTATGAGTGGACCGTGCGACGGTCGTGAGGCCCTTGGCAATCGCCTCGTGCATCTGCATGTCGAGGTTGTCCTCATACACATTGCGCTTTACCGGCATTAAGTAGACGATTGGCGCGAAAATTAAAACTCACCTTCTTTGCCGCAGGTCGACTCATGTTGTCAACAGCATCCTCTGGATCGCTGTCAGGGACACGAAGATCGCGCCCAGAAGACCAGGATGACGCCGATGAGCGGCGGCTACGAGAGCTATGGCCGGATGTGCGAGCGCGGACACTGGGAACATCGACATCGCTGTCGTCAATGATTTCCATCCGAGGAGGAGCGTCGGGAAAATTGTCATCCGAGTCGGGTTCCTCCTTTAGCTGCCGGCGTTTCGTGCGGGGTTTATCAATCTAGCAAGTAATGTCAAGATTTTGTGTCGAGGGCCTGAAGTGGAAACATACCTTCACGGATTCTTGGTCCGAGTCGAACAAGTTCTCAGCGAAAGTATCCTCCATCTATACATATTAGCAGGCATATATTAAAGACCAAAAGCGTACCTCGACATCGTGATTGTCGACTTTAACAAACTTGGACTTCCTCGAGATAACATGAGGGACCTAATGTATCGTGAGCAAAACACAATATGTATGTACTCGCCACGATCACATACCTCAGTCATGAACTCATTCTCGTTGGGAGCAACGTCCTCGATGTGGTCTCCATCGGATTCGCCGTCCTCGGACTTCTCCTCAGATGCGGGAGCATCCTCCGAGTCGGAATCTGACTCTGCAACAACACGGGCAGGGGTGGCCTTGGCGATGCCGGCTTTGCTGTTCTTCATGGAGGGTTTGGCTGAAGTACGGTGAGTTAGTGAACGAAGGAGCAGGGAGGAGATTACCTTGGGTTGATACATTGCCCAGTTTTTTTGCAGTGGCCGCGACGGGCTTGGCTTTCGAACGAGTGGGGAGATTAGTAAAATCCAGACGAGCTAAATGATTCAATACCAGATACACGATGTAAGGGAACAACTCACTGCGTTTCTTGCCCCCTCCCGCATCGGACTCGTCAGAGTCTTGGATTGTGGCCGGTGCGTGTTCTGAAGAGATCTGTACTCAAGTCACATCGATGTCACATCAATCGGACTTACTTCTCGCTTTGACCACGGACGCTTTCGGAATCTCAGGCGTGGCCTCGACTTCTGAATCTAGGGAAGATGTGAATAAGAGAGGAAGATGTGCAAGCTGTTCAAACAAACCACTGGTGGCCTTGGTTCCTCGGGCTTTCTTGGTAGTCGCCGAGGGCTCGGCCGTCGACAACGTCCTTTTGCGGGTTGTACCGGGCTGATCAGCCTTCCATACTGGAAAGGAGGACGACATGAATCAGAAGAGGAATGTATTTTTAGGGCTCTATGAACGTACCCGCTTGTTCTTTGGCTTTGGCTTTGGCTGCACGGCCTCCAGCCTTTTCTGGGCAAATGAAGATAATCAGTGCCGAAGTTCTGGAGTCCCAACTGCTATAAACGTACTCGAGGCGGCCACAAAGGCAGCCTGTTCTTGTCTCTCTGTCTCCGCCTTGGCGGCCATTGTGATTTTACGCTTTTCAGCGGGGGTGAGAGTTGTATTTGTTGATCCAGCGGGCATGGTAGGACTAGTGCTGGTGGAATGAGGGGAGTTATCAAGGAATGAGGGATAGGGAATTAGTGTGCGTGATGGTAAGAAGGAAGGAGGGAATAAAAACAATTGAGGTGCGTGTTTGGCAATGCCCTTCAGACAGCGTCAGACTCAATGGAAATTACACGCCTTCAAAGACGAGACGGCCTTGGACTCGGAAATGATCTTCCGCAGTGATTCTTATCCCGTCGCTTCACACTCTAACCATCCTCTGCATCCATGGTCCGCTGCCCAGGGTGTAACACAGATTTTTCGAGTGGGAAGGGGCTTGCGCTTCATTTGAAACTAACCACGGCCGAGGCTTGTTCTGCGGTCTTCAGAGCTGCTGAAAACCATGTTAGCCACGCTCCACCCGTGCTAGCGGCCGCGGATCCCCTACCCGAGCCCGAGTCCGCCGCACCTGAGCAACCCGGGGACCATGGTCTGCCTAATGGCGAGACAGTATTCACTGGGGATTTCTTCGGGGATGATTACACTGCAGGGGATTTTCCTGATGACTCTGAGAACGAGTCCGACGAGGAGAGCGATATTGATCCTGTTGGGGAGGACCACGCCGCCGCCAGTCGCGCCGATCTCGAGGATATGTTCGAAGTTCCCCGCGGACCACGCATTAATCCAGCAGACGAAGACCATCCGATGCCTCCTGCTGGCCCAGCGGATTCTGCGACTCACGCTGCACCTACCCGTGAGGCGCG